ATGTAATTTATATATTTGTTTTGTAGAGACATATGAATTAAATAGGTCTATTATTTTTTAAAGGATGATTTAATGACATGACATATCAACTAGAATAGAATGAGCTTTTTAGGTATTTAGTATTATTTTTTTTTGGATAAAAATATAATATTATTCAATTTTTATTTTTTCAAAAAAAAAATATTGTAAGCATGAATTTCAAAACACACAATTAATATTATTGTAATAGTTAATTGACCTTTAATATTATTGATTCATTATACAATTTATGATTAATTGATGTAAGTTAGCATTCATGAGTGATTTGTATGTCAATATTTTTTGAATATATGTGTTTATAAGTACTCAAAATTGATGATATTAAAGTACGTTTTAAAAACCTATCTTCATAACATAAAAAAATAAAAAGCTTAATTATGATAAAAGATTCTTAAGTATGAAAATTTATTCTTAATAAACTAATATATTTTTAAAACAATAATATGATCATTATTTTAGTTAAATGGTTTAATGAATTAAATAGTCTATTATTAAAAAAATCTTTAATGGCATGTCATGCCAACTAGGAGAGAGTGAAGCTTTTGAAGTGTCAAGTATATTGGGAGGAAAATAGTGATAGTTGAGTGATATTTTGGTCCTAAATGAAACATAAATGATATTTCAAGGAAATTCCCTAAACTTGGGTGACCATTTAGGGAATTGACTCCCTTTTTAGTAGGTCCAGACTTACCCGTACTAATCAAACCTATTTTCATTTCTATGTCCGTCGGAAAATTACATAAATACACAATTTAAGATATTATAATCTCTAAAAAAATTATAATTGAAAAAGATTACAAATATCTCTGACCAATTACCAGATCCACCTATCATCGCTCGCCTTATCAGGCATAGTTTCTTTTCAAGAAAGAGGCAGAGATTATGAGCTTGACGCGTGGGAATCTGCCGAACAGTTCAGGCCAAATCCTGAAGAAAGCTAAAAAGCGCTGCTTTAATCTCTTGTTTCGGAGAAATAAGTGGCTCACGAGGAATGGAAAGAAACATATTCTATTTGATCTCTAAGTCCGTACATAGCTACATTCTTATTCTCTCTCAAATACATCTATATTCCCTCTCGGATATATCTTTCTCATTAAGTAATATATCATTTGCAATGAATCGGACAATCAAGAAATGGATTTGAAAGCAGTGAAAATTCAGAATTTTTATAATTGAAGAAACTTCCGAGATAAGATATAATAGCCTCAAATGTATGAGATTTCTGTAAGTTATACTAAATAGATATCATCAAACAGAAAGGAAAAAAAAAACTATTCCAAAATAAGTAATTTAAAAAAAAATTAAGAAGATAAAATTAGAATATTTTTAATTATATTTTATACTTATTAGATAAACAATGTTATTTTTTTATATTTATTAAAATAAAAAGTAATTTAATAAATTGTACATTATATTTGTTAATTTTTTGGACATAATTATTAAGGTGATATTTATTTTGAAATCGAGGAAGTATTAATTATTTACATCTAACCCCCAAAGTTGTATATAATATATAAGGGTTCGTGGTTCGGTTGGATCGGTTATTGGTTAAAACCAAAATCAAATCAATCTAGTTGGTTTTTAAAATTTTTTAAAATCAAACCAAACGAAAAAAATAATCGTCGATTTGGTTATTGTCAGTTTGGTTCGGTTTTTCTAGGTTTTTTCGGTTTGAAAGTAATAAATTTTGTGAGGACATGCGTATCTCAATAGACACAAACACCTAGTACATGAACACTCAATGTGAAAGCTATTGTCGGTTCAATTAAGCAATACTAGAGTTATTATTACACGAACAAAGTGATTCAATTAAGAGAGTGTGACTATCTTATGTGAGGTAGGATAGATAAAGACTAAAGTAATGAATTTTGATGGACTTTGACTTAGGATTGTAATAGTTGGGCTAAAATTGGTAAAGTATATTTGATTAAAATTTAATAAAATATTTATTATTTATTTATGAATAATATATAAATAAATATAAAATGTATGTATCTAATTTATCGGTTCAATTTGGTTATTTTGCGGTTGTTTTTTAGTAAAACCAAAACCAAATCAAATAGTGTCGGTTTTTCAAAATATAAAATCAAACCTAACCAAATATAAATTTTTTTTTTATCAATTTAATTCGAATTGCAATTCGATTTGATTTTTAAACCATAACCATGAACAACCCTAATTATATATATATATGTCTTATCGCAACTGTTGACACCATGTGGTAGCTTAATTATTAGTACTTGACCTTTATTTTATTTTTTCCAATAATAACCGACAACTTTAATAATTTAAAATCATGCAAATCCATTTTATAATATTGATTCAATACTACCTACCATTATTGAATATTTGGCAGTATATAATTGATTTTCATAAAAAAAAAAAGGTAAAAAACAATCTCATACTAATTGATGAATATCCCCCGTTCATTATTGAATATTTGGCAGTATATAATTGATTTTCATAAAAAAAAAGGTAAAAAACAATCTTATACTAATTGATGAATATCCCCCGTTCATTTTTTTTAAAATTTAAAATACCTCTTGAATTAACTGCTGATTTTTAAAAAATTTAAATAATCATGTGATATATTATGATTCACCACATATAAAATAAAGACTTAGATGTTATAACTCATGGAGGAAGAAATTACACTTTTAGCAAACACAAATTGAGTTACAGCATTTGAATTTTAAGCTATGCTCTTATATTTGTGTTGAAGGTGATTGTGATTTTCGAGGATAATCTAGGTTAAAAGTATGAGTCAATTCTTATTCGTAAATTTAAGTTTAAGATGTGTGAGTTTAATTTTTAATTAAATAATTTTTTTTGATAACTGTAAACTTTATTATCAGATTTGTCAATTCTGTATAATTTAGCACTTTGGATGTGGCCATGTTCCACTCTCCAAGTTCTACTACTACTCATTCTACCTCTTACTTGAAAACTATTCTAAGGATAAAAATTAAGGTTCTGCATATATCCTTTTAATCTAGGAATCATGATGGCTCTATGATGAATGTCTTGTGTAATTACTCTAGAATATGTGCATTAACAACATCCCTAACATCAACTAATCTATATATTCCACCATCAGACGATGCTTCTTTTCCTTCATCAAATAAAGACAATGTGCAAACTTCAGTATAATTTATTATCAAAAGCTTGATTTGAAGCCCAACAAGGAGAAAGTCCAAATAAAGAAAAATGCATAAGGACCTTCGTATAGTAACTAAATAAAATGAGTGGTCTACATAACAATTGAGCCAACCAATCTTCATACTATTTCACCACCAAATGTATATCTAATTCGTTGGGCCAGACAAAACTTCTAAAAGCTTTAGCAAAGCTTCTTGAGGCAACTTGTTTGGTTAAGTTTTTCAAGAAAGTATTTAAAACTTCTTGTTTGTTTTGGACTTTCGGTACACTTTTTCTCGACCAAAGAGCTTTTCCAAAATGTTGGTAAAGACTCTATGTAACAATTACCCCCTAATTTTGAGTGAACTTTATCAGAGGAGTTAAGATTAAGTTCCATGTATGCCTTATGCATGCTTCAAATTAGAGTAAAGGCCAAAAAATATTTACACTAAGTCCACATCATTGGAGTTCTGCACCAACTTACTTAAAATATTGCCTCAGCTTGACCATCCATTTACCGACTAATATTTTCCAAGACAAGGAAGGTGAATTGTTTCTCCTTAAAGTTTCATCCATGAAGGGTGTGTTGAGTTTTGTTAAAGAGTGCAAGTTGAACTGGAAGTATATTTGGCCGGTTTGAATTCTTAAGAAGGTTGGGGCGGTAGGCTATAGACTGCCTTAGAAGTATAAGAAGGGACTTAGCAGCATTTACCAAACTCACCATTTCATTCCCAAATATCTGATTTTTGTTCCAGTTAAATGATCATTAAATTCCAAGATCATTTCAAGCTAGTCAAACACAGACAAGAGAACACATGTTCCTAATATGTATTCTATACATAAATATTTTCATCAAAGGTGTTGTATAAGCAAATTAGAGAAGAAGGAATTGGTGGGGCGGGGTTGGGAGAGAAGGAGGTAAGAATATCTCAAGGTGTCTTATGTCACTGCACAAACTTACCTTCTTTTATGACTTTCACTATTGCCTCACAAGAGAAATTGAGCGTAGGCTGCAGAAGTGGACCAATGACTAGACCTGGATGGAGTGTTACCAAGTCAATCCCATTCTCCTTTGCAAATTTCCAAGCAGCCTGCTCAGCCAGGGTTTTGGAGAGTCGATACCAGTCCTGCAAACAAAGAAGCACTTATTACTTTTTATTTTCAAAATCACTTTAACTGTTTCAATTAGTGTAGTGTTAATAATTACTTGAGATGTTTAAGACAGGAAAAGAGGATAGCTCTTATGATTAAGGTTATTATATGTATCTTTTAATGTGTATGCAAAAACCTTAAAAGACAGATAACATATATTGAATGTAATAATTATCTGACCATACTAACAAATACAAGGACACAGGGAATGCAGAATTGATTAATTCTTTCTGGTCTAAGAAACATATCTTACTTGAGCAGCATAACACGGATTAACTCCAGATAGCACACACATATGGACAATAGTATTTAACTCCAAGAAAGACGGTCATACATTTTCCAAACCTCTTGCCAAAATAATGGAAGGATACGCCTCATCAAATTGAAAAGAACTACCAAATTATAGACGCATAGAACCTTTCTTTGCTCGCAGAATTCAGGATCTGAATACCAAGTCTCATCAGCCACAACTCCAGGGGTTGACATATTTTTAGTGCATATAACAGAAGCAGTAGAAGAAGTTATCACCACTCTTCTGACAGATGGTGATTTGGCACATGACCGAAGGACATTTAACGTTCCTTTCACAGCAGGATCCACAAGTTCCTCCTGGAAAAGAATATTTATTAGTATGAAACTAAAGCACCAAGATCTATTTAACAGCTAACAAACATTTTCCTCCTTAAAGACATCTCTTGGCATAATTTGATGTCACAGTAAGTTTCCGACCTTAGATTTTCCTGTGAGAAAAACAGGTGAAGCTGTATGAAAGACACCTTCACAACCATCAACAGCAGGATCAAATGATTGCTCTTCAAGTAACTCTGCTTCGAATAGATGCAGCCTCTCATTAGCTCCACCAAGTCTTAGCAAGTGATGCACTTTACTTGTATCCTCTGTGTGCTTAACTAACATTTTAGAAACACTCTTATACATACGAAGGATAAATAGAAACAGCTAAGCACATGATCACATAAAATTATTGCAGAATTTCTGTTCTGTTATGAATATCAAATGTATGTGAAACCGCCATTTCAGTTTAACTTAAACAAGAATAGAATGTACTTGTCATTTGTGAGAGCTAATTTCACATAATTGTTATCAAATTAATAACATACAAGAGCAGTGACTTTAATATAATATTTTAAAGATGAAGGAGAGAAAAAGAACTGACTGAGATTACGAACAGTGGCGTTGACGGTGTAGCAACAACTTGACTAGCCATGAAGCTATGAAACCAGATGCCCCTGTTACACATTGCCTTTCCTTCTCCACTATTCTTGCTTTCCATTGGTAATCCGAGTTATTCAAAAACAATACAGACAAAGTAATTCTAATTTGACTACCATAAGAGACTTCAGTTCTCTTTTCTCTTTTTGTGCGACAACGCCTGGGGTGGTGGGAAGGAATAAAATAAAAGACCACAGCAAAGGGTGGTGGCCATGGCCATGTTGGTTGATATTGTTCTCTGTGGCCACTCATGGAGCAAATAATAATTTACTAATATAAATCTCTCTTTTATTTTGTATATATTCCTGACATCTCTTATCAACCAAGATATGTTGACAAGACGAGCCCAACTCAATTTTAATATCAATTTTGTTACTATTTTTGATCAATAGTAGCAATTACATTCTTCTGCCCACTTTTCTGTAGATGTCAATCAAAAAGCCCCTGTTGCTTTCATTAGCCCTTCACTGATGTGCTTAGTAATTGGATGTAACAACTCTTGGGTTTATAAGGTAGTTTTGAAGGATAACACAAAGGTGGCGGTGAAGAGAGGATTTCATCAATCACATCAAGGTCTTCCCGAGTTCAAGAATGAAGACGAAATGCTGTCTCAACTTAGGCATCACTATTTGGTCATAGACAAAGTGATGTGACACATCGATTTGATCACAAGAACAATTAATAGTTAATTACTTTTTCACACACAAAACAAGGGTTGAATCCTAAGAAAAATAGTTGGAAAATAAAGGGTCAATCAAGACCTGAAAATAGTTAACTTTTACTAGTACAAAACCAACCTGTAATGAATTACATTATCTATGTACTCAGTGTTTGTTACTTATTTAGAAAAAAGGATTACATTATCTGTGTATAAATTATTAAGTGTATTTTTCACCCACAAATGCAGGGTGTAGGCGCGCAGGCAGATTGTAGCTTAAGCCCAATGTATTCCATTTCCACCAACTGAATGTTGTTTAAATGTGGAGGAAGTTCTTTTCCATCAAGCTTTCAACAGTATCCTTCACGCTCAACTCAAGACAAGTGAATTTGATTCCTAAACTTTTTGCTTTTTCACTTGATACTTGGAAGTGTGGGGTAAGAGGCAATCCATCTTTGAAACTGCATCCAAATTTAAGAATTATGATGAATCCCTCAAATTGCTTTAAACAAAAATTCTTAATTAAAGAGAAAGATAAGTGAGCTTAAGGAAGCAAGACATGTTCAACTATAAAGCCTGCAGTGTCAAAAAATAGTCCACTTCAACACCTCTGAATTCATAAAAGAAATCATGTGACATGGAAAAGCAAAATTGACTACTTATGTCATAATTGACTATCCTACTTCCTTTTCGATTGTGCTGCATTTCCTAAAATTGAAACTTTCACTACGTCAATACTTGCAAAAATTTTAATTACTCAGTAACTGTGAACTTGTTACATCTCTTCTGCCTTTGTTTCTCCTATTTTACATTTGTTAAGTGTTAGCAAGATTCAGTTCTACACATTAGTTGTCCTAGAAGAAGGATGCAATTGATGATTTTTTTCTCTGCTGAAACGAAGATAATAATATAAACTAACTAGTATAAAGAAAATTAGAACTGTGATATTGGCAATACTTACTTCTCAGGGAGAGTGATGGAAGGGTAAAGCTTTTGAATAATCTTCAAAACCAAAGAAGAGTATCCGTTTGCCCCAACTAAACAATATCTTCCATTTGCTGAAGGAACCTCAAAGGCTAGAATATGTGCATTAGCAACATCCCTAACATCAACAAATCTATATATTCCACCAGACCATGCCTCTTTTCCTTCATCAAATAAAGACAATGTGTCAAGCTTCAGTACTATTTATCATCAAAAGCTTGATTTGAACTCCAAACAAGGAGAAAATCCAAAAAAAGAAAAATGCATAATTCGTTTGGCCAGACAAAACTTCTAAAAGCTTTGCGAGCTTTAGCAAAGCTTCTTGAGGCAACTTGTTTGGTTAAGTTTTTCAAGAAAGTATTTGAAACTTCTTGAGAGCACATCTTTGTTTTGGACTTTTGGTACACTTATTCTCGACCAAAGAGCTTTTCCAAAATGTTGTCCTAATGGTAAAGACTCTATCTAAAAACTACCCCTAATTTTGAGTGAACTGTATCAGAGGAGTTAAGATGAAGTTCCATGTATGCCTTATGCATGCTTCAAAACCAGATTAGAGACAGAATATATTTACACCATGGGAGTTCTGCACCAACTCACTTAAAATATTGCCTCAGCTTGACCATCCCTTTCCCGACTTATATTTTCCAAGACAAGGAAGGTGAATTGTTTCTCCTAAATGTTTCATTCATGAATGGTGTGACTGCCCTAGAAGGTTAAGAAGGGACGCTAGCAGCATTTACCAAACTTACCATTTCATCCGCAAATATCTGATATTTGGTCAGAGTTAATTTTGTGTGTAGATAAAACAAAAAATGCTAAAAGATTGTTCTCATAAAATGTTCATCAGTGGCAGGGTAACAAATAGAAAGTAGGCTTTTAGAAAATCTTAATAAAGTAGGTTGTCTACTATATAATTAGATTAAGATCGTAAAAACAGAAGCTTGTAATAAAGCTAGACCAAATTCAATAAATGGTTACTTCTGTATATAATGGTTCTTCTTATTATAATCTAGAAAGCTTTAGAAAAGAAAATCGTTCAAAAAGATCATCAGAAGCAGAGGTCTGTGATTCTGAATTAAGAAAACATTACTAGAAAATGAACAATCGTAGAAGAAGTTTCCAGTTAAATGATCATAAAATTCCAAGATCATTTCAAGCTAGCCAAACACAGACAAGAGAACACATGCTCCTATTATGTATTCTATACATAAATATGTCATCAAGGATGTTATATAAGCTAATTAGAGAAGGAGGTAAGAATATCTCAAGGTGTCTTATGTCACTGAACAAACTTACCTTCTTGTATGACGTTCACTATAGCCTCGCAAGAGAAATTGAGTGTAGGCTGCAGAAGTGGACCAATGACTAGACCTGGATGGAGTGTTACCAAGTCAATCGCATTCTCTTTTGCAAATTTCCAAGCAGCCTGCTCAGCCAGGGTTTTGGAGAGTTGATACCATTCCTGCAAACAAAACACCTTCAGCAAGCCTATTGTGAAGAGAATGCTGAAATCTTTCATTTCTTTCTCAAATTCATCTACCAAATGAAGTATATAATACTATCTCCAGTCCATGTTATTTTTGTCATTAGCAAACTGAATTTGTTTCTAAATATTTGATGTTATCGAAAAATAAGATATTCCTATAGTCTATGTGTAAGTTTGGACCTCATCCCATAATAAAAAAGATGTGGAAAAGATCAAATAAAGAAAGAGCACAAGAAAACAAATCAACTTCCAATGCAACTCCAAGAAAGATACATTTTCCAAACCTCTTGTTACAATAATAAAAGGATAAGCCTCATCAAGTTGAAAAGAACTACCAATTTATAGACACATATAACCTTTCTTTCCTCGCAGAATTCTGGATCTGAATACCAAGTTTCATCAGCCACAGCTCCAGGGGTTGACATATTTTTATTGCATATAACAGAAGCAGTAGAAGAAGTTATCACCACTCTTCTGACAGATGGTGATTTGGCACATGACCGAAGGACATTTAACGTTCCTTTCACTGCAGGATCCACAAGTTCCTCCTAAAAGAGAAACTAAAGCATCAAGATCTATTTAACAGCAAACAAACATTTTCCTCCTTAAAGACATCTCTTGACATATTTTGATGTCACAGTAGATTTCTGACCTTAGATTTCCCTGTGAGAAAAACAGGTGAAGCTGTATGAAAGACACCTTCACAACCATCAACGGCAGGATCAAACGATTGCTCTTTAAGTAACTCTGCTTCAAATAGATGCAGCCTCTCATTAGCTCCATCAAGACCTAGCAAGTGATCCACTTTACTTGTATCCTCTGCATGCTTATAATTAACATTTTATAAGTTGGGAACACTCTTATATATACGAAGGAGGAAGGAATAAGAGTAACAGCTAAGTCCATGATCCACAACTAATTGAATATCAAATGTTTGTGAAACCACCATTCCGGTTTGACTAAAACAAGAATTGAATGTAGTTAACATTTGTGAGAGCTAATTTCACATTATTGTCGTCAAATCAATAACTTACTAGCTCAGTGACTTTACTATGGCAAAACTTTTAATGGCATAATGGATGTATAGACCCTATTTCATGTAGTTATATGTGATTGATAAGCTAAGAAAGGCGAATTAGCAGGAAATTTTTGTGGTGAAACCATAGTTTGTAGGCTTTTAACACTTAATATAGTTGAAGTATAAGGTTTTACTTATGATCCACTAGGAAATTTAGGCTCAGAGCTGATGTATCTATGTATAATAACTACAATCCCATTGGGCATTCGTTTTCTAGTTCTACTATCTATCTATATATAGTAACAAATCAATTCCCTGTTTGCAATTAGAGCTCCCTCAAATACATGTCGAGTATAGGGATAGCATTATTACACAAGAAACTTAAATCAACCCAGAGATCAAATAGAATAAACAAGGTTGTAAAGGATCCAAAGTCAAATACTAGTGCAAATGAAATCCAAAAAAAAAAACAGAAACAAGGAGAGAAAGAGAACTGACTGAGATTGCGAACAGTGGCGTTGACAGTGTATCCACGTTGTAGCAACAACTTGACCAGCCATGAAGCTATGAAACCAGATGCCCCTGTTACACATACTACCTTTCCTTCTCCAATATTCTTACGATCCATTCCCAGATGTTATTCAAAAACAATACAGAAATGTAATTCTATTTGGCAAACTGCAAAGCAGCAATCGGTGTCGACTGTCGACTGTCGACAGCCGAATTTTTAGGAAGCTGTGCAGATAAGATATAATAAGTTTAACCATCATATGCATGAGTTGGTTATATCTCTCCCTCATTACTTCTTTCCATTGACTTAATTTAAGTATATTTAATTTAAATTTATATTTAAACACTTTTAAAGTATTTAGGTAAAATTTACTTAACCACCATTGGAAGAGGTCTTGAATTTAAATTTACTTAACCACCATTGGAAGAGGTTTTGTGTTTAATTTTACTTAACCACAATTTTAAGCCCTTACAAAAAATATGTTTTGGTTGGGGTTTGAACGCAACAAAATCAGCTAGCAAACCAACATGCTAATAGATAGATAACTTTTGGTCAAATAATGACACTTAGTAAAAAAAATTCGAAGAATGAGTGTCGCTTGATACTCCTTCGCTCAACATGGGTCCACCCTTGGCGACAGTGTAATTGAATAGAGTAGTGTTGAAATGTCGTATTGCAAAGATATTAGAGTGGATAATGTTTTAACGACTTTAATAATTTGTTATAGATCTTAGTCATTTAAATCTATTTGAATACTTGTAAAAAAAGGCATAATATATACACATATATTTTAATTTGGTCTCAACTGACATTCATGTCCTTCAACTTTGAACGACATAAATTGACACTTAAATTATCTTAAAGTTGAATATGTAGATACATGTGTATGTCCTGCATGGCTAATCTTACGCGATTTTCCATATATGATGTATGTGTCTACTTATTCAATTTTGTAATAGTTGAAGTATCTAATTGTACACCTCCAAAA